CAGAGCAGGCTCATCATTCCTCTCCAAACCAACCAGATTTTAACACCCAAAAAGCTTTTGTTGAGGAATCAAATGCTGATTCGAGCGTGAGCACCCACAACCTGGAACTTTTCCTCGGCAAATCACCGCTTCTCTCCTTTAGATCAAAACACTGAAATAAAATTCTCCAAGAACCTCCTGGCTGAAGTCATTGGCAGATGAAAAATAACGAAAAAGCCCCTAAAGGCCCGAATCACGCTCGGTTTTTTGGTTTGTTCCCTCACTTCAGTGGAGYGATCTAATTATCTCTAAAGATTTCCCTGTTTTGTGGTGAAAAAAAACCCAGATTGGGGAATGGGCTGAGTGTAAAAAAGGGTAAATAATAACAATTCCTGTTTGCTGCAATTCCTGCCTCCCTCCCGCCGGAATGCGAGGGCCGTGCCAGAGCCCGATAAAAATAGCCAAGAGCCCGAGTCAGAGTCTGTCCCTTGCTCTCTTTATTTTGGGGTGGGATCTGCATGTTAATTTATTAATGCAGCTTTTTTTGGTTTATCAGACTCGGAATAACGCTCAGTGAAAGGGAATGAGGGGGCTTTGACAGGACAGAGCCTTCCATGCTCTGGATTTTGGAGAATCTGGGTTGGTTTGCGTGGGAAGGAGCCTCAAAACCCATCACACTCAGAATTTCAGAGAATCTGGGATGGTTTGGGTGGGAAGAAGTCTCAAAATCCATCAGGCTCTGGAGTTTGGAGATTTTGGGTGGGAAGGATCTCAAAACCCACCACACTCTGGATTTTGGAAAATCTGGGATGGTTTGGGTGGGAAGGAGCTCAAAACCCATCACACTCAGGATTTTGGAGATTTTGGGAGGGAAGAGGCTTCAAAACCCATCAGATTCTGGATTTTGGAGATTTTGCATGGGAAGAGGCCTCAAAACTCATCACACTCTGGATTTTGGGGAATCCTGGAATAGTTTGGGTGGGAAGGAGCTCAAAACCCATCACACTATGGATTTTGGAGAATCCTGGGATGGTTTGGGTGGGAAGAGGCCTCAAAACTTATTACACTGTGGATTTTGGAAAATCTGGGATGGTTTCAGTGGGAAGGAGCTTCAAAAAACATCACACTTTGGATTTTGGAGAATCTGGGATGGTTTGGGTGGGAAGGAACTCAAAACCCATCCACTCCCAACCCCTTCCACCATCCCAAGGCCTGGGACACTTCCCCTTCCAAACCTTTGATATTCATTGATGTTGTTGTGATCTGATTTTCCCCGAAACTTTCAGAAAATGTTAATTATCCACATTCTGCCCTGTGGAATGCAGCTGAAATTTAGGGAATTTAAAGGAAAGGTTCCTCCTTTTATCAGCAGCCAGTGGGGAGGATCTCATGGGCAACCATGAGAGATAAAAATATAGATAAAAATATAAAAAAAATATAAGATAAATATAGATAAATATATAAAATATATAAAAACACATATATAAATATATATAAAAAAAATAAAAACATATAAATATATAAAATATAAATATACAAAAATATATAAAAATATGAGTTGTTGCTATGAAAATCTGTATTTTGTATATAAATATATAAATATAAATTTGTATATAAATGTAATGTATACAATGAGATATATATATGGGTCTGGAAAGGAGCAGGAGGATTTTTCAAACTTGGTGAAAAAGTGCTTTGCTCAGTGCTGAGCCTGCAGAACGGAGAGGAGAAATAAAATAGAAAAAAGAAAAAAAAAGAAAAAAAAATAGAAAAAAAAAGAAGAAAAAATTTTTGTGTTTTTTTTTTAAACAATGACCATAATCAACCACGGGATTTATATGATCATAATCAACCAAGAATGGTGAATTCTCTTTTTTTTAGGGTGCATGGTACGAGTTTCTGACGGAGCAGTGAGTGCAGGGAGAGCAGGATGAGCTGGGATGGACATTCCAAACCAATCCTTGACCACTTGGGCACCATCAACCATGGCTGGAAAAACAAAATAACTGCAGCACCTGATCCTCAGAGCCAACATTTCCAACCCTCCCACTCCAGGTTGAATCCCAGGTGCCACCCAGACGTCCTCCAGCAGAGCTGGAGGTGGAGAGGCAGCTGAGAAATGAGATTTTCACCTTTGAAATTAATTCACAGGGCTTAACATCACCCCTGCACACTGCCAGGAATTCCATGGCAAACAGTGGCAAAGCTGATGAAAGTTTTTAGGTTTCACCTCACACTGTCTGTGCAAAAAAAAAAAGCTTCAGGAGCTCTTTGAATGCATTTGGAATTGTGGATTGAGTCAGTGATGCMGGGATCCCTGCTTTGTTTTCAGAAGGTTAAAAGTGTCAGCAGCACGGTTCGATGGCTTAGTGTAAAATTTGTAAAAAAAAAATAAAAAATAAAATGTACTCCCGAGATCTTCTACCACAAATAATTTCATCGCTCGCCCCTGGAAATGTCAGCRCTGCCTTTTCTTCCCCTCCCCCGTGGTTTATTTTCCTGTCTGTCAGCTGGAAATTCCTCCAGCTCTGCGAGATAAGCTCGCCACGTCCCTCCCGGTGAGTAAGCGCCAATTCGCGCTCAGAGCCGCAATTTGGCTTTGTCATCTGCCACAAGAACCGCCTGATTATGGGCTGTTGGAAAAACGGAGGAAAAGCAGCCCTGGTGAAATGTGTGGTGTCCCTGAGGGATGGCACAGAGGGGTTTGGGATCTGCCAGGATGGGGAAACTCACGGTGTTCACCCGGAACCGTCGGGAATTGCACCCCAGGATTGTGTGACCCTCGAGTCCTCTGTGGTGTTAAAATCCATCCCTGATGAAAACCCATTCTTGCTGAAAAGAAATAGCTGCTGAAAACCCATCCCTGCTGAAAATCCATCCCTGCACAAAAAGAGTCCCTGTTGAAAACCCACCCCTGCTGAAATCACTGTTGAAAACCCATCCCTGTTGAAAACCCATCCCTGTTGAAAACCCATCCCTGTTGAAAACCCATCCCTGTTGAAAATCCATCCCTGTTGAAAATCCATCCCTGTTAAAAATCCATCCATGTTAAAAACCCATCCCTGTTGAAAATCCATCCCTGCTGCAAATCCATCTCTGTTGAAAACCCATCTTTGTTGAAAATCCA